ATTTTCAGTACCCGTTTTTTTTTTTTTTTTTTTTTTTTTTTTTTTTTAATTCAGCAAAACCTAAGCTAAGAAAAGTCACGATCTTTGCTGTGTCCCGGCTGCTGAGCTCTGCCCAAGCGTGGCTGCATTTAAAAAATAATGACTTGAAGCCTTTTAACCCGCTTTAAGGCCACGGCAGGCACATCTCCCAGCAGGCTGGGAATTTGGCAGGGCTCCCCCGGATAGAAAGATCCCGCGGGGATGGGAAATGGAGTGGCTGAGCTTTGAGGGGTGGCCGAGCTGCTCACAGAGTTCCAAGCCAACCCACAGCCCCCGGCACTCGCGGCTCAGTGCTCCCCAACACAACTGGGTGTCCTCAAAGGGGCTGCACTGGGGCAGCAATGCCCCTTCCACAGACAATGGGGTTCACCTCCCCTGTGTCCCCCAGTTTCTTCACTGTGCTCTCAGCAGCCACTGCTGCTGCAGTTGGGAACGCTGCTCCCCAGGTCATGCCTTTACCAGCCTCGGTCACAGGTTGGTATTTCTAGGGGACACTGAGGCACTGGCTAAGGTGGGTTAAAGAGAGAATGACTTTGAATCATCACATTTTTTGGGGGTACCCCCCAAATCGAGCTATCAAGCCAGAATTCAGCTTCATGCTGAAGCCTGGAGTGAAACCCAAGATGTCCTGGTCCTCAGCGTGGGACATCCCAGCCCTGCAGGGACATCCAGCCCTGTTGGGACATCCCACCCTTGCCAAGACCTCACCACGAAGCAGCTCCAAACCAAGAGCCTTTCCTACCACACACTGCTGAGGGTGTTGCCCCCAGGGTGGGTGGAGGTGGAGAGCTGAAGGGTGGTCTCCAACTCCTGCTGGACTCTTTAGTCTCCCTTCTCATGGAGCTGAAGCCTGCTGGGACCCTGGGGGTTTTCCTCCCCTAACTCCTGCCCGGTCCTGCTCTCCCTCCCATACCCAATGTTCCATGAACAGCCGGGCTTGTGGGGACAGGGGACAAGGAGATCAAGTGTGGTTCTGCCTGTGGTCCAGGACTCCATCCGTCCCTGCAAAGGGATCCTGAGGAGCCCTGGGTGGGAGCTGGAGATACCCGGGCTGATGCAACACTGAGCAAGAGGCTTTTGCTCGGGGTGGGGGGTCACAGTGCAGGCAGGCGAGGAGGATCTCTTGCGCGCTTCGGTGGAGATTGATTGGAGATCCGAATGGGCAATTTCACCCTTTTTGGTTCCTTTGAAAAATAAATTTGTTTTGGCTGCCTCCTCCACTCCGCCTTCCTAACCAGGAGGCTGCAATTTCCACAGGCTCCGGAGAAAGGTAGGGCTGGTAAGGAGAGGTAATGGCCTTTATTAGGCTAAATTGATGCAACTGGAAAAAACAGAGACGCAACCCAGGCTCTCCATCCAGCCCACGAGCCCCAGGTGCACCCAGGCGCTCGCCTGCTTCCTCCAGCTGCATCAATTTGTCCACTAAATGCTATTACCGCTCCCTCCGAGCCTCCTCCTCCTCCTCAGGCCGTCTGACCTCCTGGCCACAGCTGCAGTGGTGGGAAGGTGAGAGGAAGGAAAAGTCGTGGCTCCCAGATGCTGCTCACAGCCAGCGTGGGGCTGGCAGGGGGGGTTCAGGGAGCGGAAGCCCGGGAGGATTCATATGTCATCGTTTAGCAGCAGATAGTGTGGTCCAGAGGTCCCTGGCCAGTGGCTCCTCCAGCACGTGCTGCCTTCGAGCTTGGCCACCTCTTTGGATGCTCCATCCAGATGAGTGCTGAGCATGAAATCCTAAAACCTCTGCCTCCCGTGGGCTGGGGGTCCTTTCTCAGTGCTTGAATGATCTCTGTTCCTGCTTGGGGAAAAAAAAAAAAAAAAGAAGTAAAATCCTGCTCTTTTTGGCTTTGCTAAAGGAAATCTGGGCAGTGCTGTTGCTCACCCTTCACCCAACGGGCAGGGCAGGGAGAGCCCTTGCAGCGCCGCCCGTTAGTCCATCCTAATGGCTTTAGCACTGTGAGAAACTCCTCAAGTCCCCGTAAATTGCTCGCTTAATGAGCTCTTTCTTGGGCTTAGTGTCTTTGGAGGCAGATGGGTGAGGAGCGGTTCCCCATCACCCTGATGGGTGCTGGGCCAGGAGAATCGGGCGTCGGCACGTGGATGCAGGGTGACTTGGGACATTCCCTCCTCTGTCCCCAACCCATCCCCTGGCCTTATCTGTACTCCCAGCATCACATCCATGTCTAGGGCTGCTTTGGCTGAAGTCAGAGGTCTCTAAATAACAGTAATGACATTAACAGTAAGAAGTTGTTCTCCAGGGGCAGCCTTGGCTTGAAGGACTTCAGTAAAATTTTTACTATGGATCTGGAGCTCTTTGATAACAATGTCTCTGAAGCAGTGTTGTTTTCTCTTCCCATCTCTGGCTGGTTTTTTGGACACAGCTCAGAGGGGGGATGGAGTGAGGCCCCATGACATGGCATTACCATCCAGCACAGTCCCCTTCTGCCACCTGACATGGGAGGGTTTCCCCTCTCGCCGTGGGCTGTGGTCCCACCTTGGCCCGTGCAGGAGGAGAAGCCCGTGGTCACTGCAGTTCTGGTGTCCCAGGATGGTTGGGCTTTGCCGATTGCCGTGTGTTGGAGGGTGACAGCCCTGGCTGGGAGAAAGGGACTGCCAGCTCTTCCCAGCCATGGTGGGAGCAGCAGCAGAGCTGCTTTGCCCAGGTTGCCTCTTGTTTTGGTCCTCTCCCTACACTGCCTGGTGAGTCCTGGTTCCCCCATCCCTGGTTCTCCAGGATGAAAAAAGTCTTTGCAATCACTTGCTGTCAGTCTGAACAAAAACCCAGCGGCGTTGTCGAGCAGCACCCGGGCCACCGCTCTGCTAGAGCTCTGTGGTGGTGACCTGGGTCACTTCTGAGCGTGGGTCATCCCCTCCATGGCCCCGGCAGCCCCGCTGGAGGCTGCCCACGTCTAGTCATGCCGGCTTGTTGCGGGCTTCGGAAGGGGTGCAGGTGGAGACGCGCTCCCGCGTGGTGTTTCTGGCGCGGGAGAAGCTGTTCTGGTCCACGCGGGTTCGGAAAGGCAGGCAAAACTCTCGGAAACACCTCTTGAAATTTTCATCCAGGAACGCGTAAAGGACGGGGTTGAGGCTGCTGTTGGTATAGCCCAGGGCGATGCAGAAATGCAGGCTGGCCACCACATAGGGGTTCTTCTTATCTATGTCCACCAGCGTCCAGACGATGACAAAGATGTGGATGGGCGTCCAGCAGATGATGAAGGCTGCCACCACCACCAGCACCATGCGCGTGATGCGCCGCAGGTTGCGGTCTTTCTCCTTGGAGCCTGAGAGGAGGCGGACGCTCTTCAGGCGAAGGATCATCAGCCCGTAGCAGATGGTGATGACCAAGATGGGGACCATGAAGGCGAAGATGAAGACGCAGATCTTGGTCACGGTGTCCCAGTAGATGGGAGGATCGGGAAACTGGAGCGTGCACAGCACCATCCCGTCTGCGGGAGAGAAGATGATCAAAGAGGGAGCCGGTGGAGTGTCTGCTATGGATACTGTCTGCTTTCTGCTCAGCCGTGGCTGGGCGTGTCCACGCTCATTAAAAACAAGGAGATGTTCACCTGCCAGCTCTTTGCAGAGATAGCCCAGGAGCTTTGTGCCACCAGCCCCTCGCCCACGGGGTGCTGAGGGGATGTAGTGGGTGCAGTGACCCAGGGACTCGTTCCCTGCAGAGCCTCCTGGGCCATCCCTGTGCTGTCTCCTCCCAACCCCCGTGGTGGACACATCACCTTCCACTGAAACCTGTCCACTTCCTCAAGACGCCCAGAGCTTTCCTAGGAGCCAAGGGCTGGCATCCTCACACAGGAGCTGTGATCTCAGTGTGGGCCAGCTGGGGACTCTGAAATAGCACTGGGGGTGGTTTTAGGCATCTGATTTGCATCCCAGGAGCTGGGGAGAGGCACTGGTTGGACTGGAGATGGGGAAGGGGAAGGACAATTTCTGGGATAGTTTCCAACCTCTGCAGCCATGATGGACAATAACACCGTGATGATTTCTCCATGGCAGGCATGCTTACGGTCCCATGGAGGGGTGCTCAAACCTGCTACAGGACCAGGGGCCTTGGGTTTGCCAGGTCACCCTGAGGATGGACAGATGGGACAGGAGGAGGTCTTTCCCCGGAAGCTACTTGCCTTTTGACTTGGTGACCGCCATGGCCATGATGGGCACTCCAATGAGGGAGGAGAGCACCCAGATGCAGACATTGATGACCTTGGCCTTGGCCGGCGTGCGGAAGTCCAGGGCCTTGACCGGGTGGCACACAGCGACGTAGCGGTCCACACTCATCATGGTGAGGGTGAAGATACTGGTGAACATGTTGTAGTAGTCAATGGAGAGCACGACTTTACAGAGCAGCTCCCCGAAGGGCCAGGTCTCCATCAGATACTTGGCGCTCTGGAAGGGCAGCGTGCTGGTGGCCAGCGCGTCGGCCAGCGCCAGGTTGAAGATGTAGATGTTGGTGGCTGTTTTCATCTTGGTGTACCTGGAGATGGCAGAGAAGGGAGCCATTACCGGTGGTTAGGGCTGGCTCACCATGCCCAAGTACGTGTGTGCACACTCAATATGAGGAGGGGGGGCACAGCCTGGCTTTTCCCAGCTGCTCACAAGGTGCCATCACCCTTGGTGGGATGTGACGTGCCCTTCTGCAGCACCTTTCCAGCTGGACCAGGGAGTACGTTGAGAAAGTACTTGTGATTGTGCATGGGTTTAGTGTGTGTTGAAGTCCTGGTGGCTGAGCACGGGGTTGTGCTCAGACGTGCTGAGCTGGGATCTTACCAAGCACCTGCAGAACACGGCTTGGACCCTGCCGAAGTGGTTATCCCTTACCTGACCAGGGAGGTGACACCATTCCCATGCCTGCCTTTATTCAAAGGAAATCTGAAGAAATTTTCAGAGAAGTCACTTCTCCAATTAAATCAATTTACTCCATTTCCCTGAATCTGTTGCACAATGTCCTTTACCTCTCAAAACCTCCTTTATCTGATTTTCCACCCAGTAAATCGTGATTATCTAGCTTGCTTCCCTGTCAAGTTGACTTGCAGAAATTGGATCGATTACCCCCGGAAACAGGCCATCTGGAACAGCCCAATTAGCCAAGCTAGCGCTCCAGAGCCTTTGGGGAAGCCTGGCTGCCTGGGCCACCACACCTGGCTCAGGGGAACGTGCCACTTCCCCCAGGGCATTCGGTGAGGGCTGCAGCCCCCCGTGGCTGGCATGCCAGCTCTGATCCGTGTCACATCACTGTTAAGAGAAACACCCGGTCCTGAGTGCCAAAACCCTTCCTGAAGGGATGGGGCACAGTTTTGGTGGGTGCCGGGGCTGGCAGGGATGGGTGTGTGTCCTCGGAGCAGCCAGCCCTGCATGTGTTGCTCAAGGTGATGCTGTGAATGATGCGATTGGTTTGAAATGGATTCACATTCCTGCTGCCGGGGGGGCTGTCGGGGGTCCCCAAAGGGCAACATGTTGGGGTGGGGTCTGGGTGGGTCCACAGCATCCCCTGGTTGTTTGCTAGGCTGAGGTCGGAGCTACACCAGCAGCTCAAACCCTTCCCTTCTAGCAAGTCCCCGCTGCTCAGAGCATCCTCCACAGCCCTGAAATCGTTCATATGCACCCTAATTAATTAACAAAATTATTATAAACCTGCCCGTAGTACCCCCGGGGTGGGGTTTAGCCCTACATAGCACGGGGCTGAATTTGGTCCTGGTGCATGGGGGGAGACAACCCCTTGGTTGCTGGATGAAAAGGTAATTAGCACAGCTCATAGAAGAACCCCATCGAGCGAGGGGGTACGCGGAGTAAATTGGGGTGAGGGGAGTGAATAGCTGCCATCTCAGACGGTTGTTGCTCTGCTGGAGTCCAGGAGAGTGGGTTGGTGTAGGAAACAGATTCCTGGGCTAGATGGTAATATCAGTTCCCTTCACGTTATCCTTTTCTCTGGCTCAGCAGGGTCAGGAGGGGACAGAGACCCACTGACTTACACTGTCGGTAGAACTGGGAGATTGAGGCTGCAAAAAACGTTTCCCTCTGGGAGAAAATAGCAGCTCAGACCAGCTCCGACAGCATTCCTGTCTCATTCACCTTGCCTGGAAATGGCAGCCCCTTGCCCAAGGGTGGAAATATCTGAGTTGAATTTTTTTTTTTTTATTTAATATGGCATAAAAAAATGTCTTTTCCTTGAAAAGCCCTTTTCAGTTCTCTTTAGTGTTATTTTCCAAGCTCTTTTGCAAATGCATCTCTCAGAAAAGTTTCGTTTCAGGTTAAACAAAAAGCTGAGAATTGTGTTATTGTCAGCTTTTGCCTCACCTCGATGAAAAAAATAGTCATTTCAGGTAGATTCACACATCTTTGATCTCTGCTTTCTGAATAAAGTGGAAAAAATCAGTTATTCACGCCATGCTCTGCCAGGTGCGCTTGGCCACGCTGGCTGAATGCTTCCCCAACCCCTGCCAGATGTCCTGGGGGCGGGGGGGCTGGGGCTGTAGCCCCCTCCCCGGGCAGGATGGGGCTGTGCTGGTGAGGGCAAAGCAGCGATGGGGATGACTGGGATGACGGGGATGACAGTTTAGCCCCCGGAGCTGTGGTTTTGAGGCAGGATTCAGCCTCCTCCAGGATTGGGCTAAGGGTCAAACCCATTGTACAGGGCGGGGGGGTCACCAGGATGGTGCAAACGAAACCACTGCTCCAGGAAAGAGGTTGATCACCCGCAGCAGAGCCAATCGGCCGCTTCTGCTGATGGAGCTCCCCGGGCTGCCAAACCACATCGCAATTAAGCGAGTGCCTTGATTGGAAAGTTACGCACTTGAACGAAACAATCTGGAAGGTGTTGACGGAGAGATGAGGCTGGAGGGGGTGGAGTGAGCGCGGGGCGATGCCAGCACCTGGACTCCCAGCTAGGGACCCCTTAGCTCTCCAAACCTCTCGGAAAATGAGTAAAAGAAACCACTTGCAAAACTCCTGCAGCTGCTAAAAGCCACCGCCTTGAAGAGCCTGGCTCAACAAATCCTGCGCCCAGCAAAGGGCTGCCCTTGCAGCCTGTGCGGGAGCTGGCGGGGGGTTGATGGGCTCTGCGGGGACGTGGCCACTCGCAAGCCCGAGCTCGCAGCTGCAAATTGCTTCCAGGGGTATTTTTAAAAGCTCCTGACAATGCAGTGGTAATTGCGGTGCCCGTCGCCATCAGAGCTGGTGGAGTGTGCTGGGGAGGCTGAGCTCCCTCTGGGTGCTTCGGATTTTGGCTCGGCTCGGCTCTCTGGGGTGCTGGGTGCCTGTTCGGGGAGCTCAGCTCGGGGGTGGAGCGGGGTCCTGCCTGTACCTGCTCCCTGGCACGCACAGGCTCTGCGGCATCCCCAGCGCCACATCCCTGGGGACCCCGAGGTCCCCGAGCCCCACAGGATGTGCATCTTGCCCGGGTCCCAAGGGCAGCAGGAGGTGACACCAGGACACGTCCCCAGGGCCACAAGGCAAATGCCCCAGCAGCGAGGTCTGAGCCTGAGCTGATCCCATTTCACAGCTCTATCCTGCGTGGACATGGGTTTCCCCTGTGGAGCCTACCTAGTCCTGGCCTAAACCCCGCCAATGTGACCTGTGAAACTCCCGGCTGGTTCAGCCACGCGAGCACGTGCTGGGGCTGTGTGTCCGCAGCCCCTCCAGTCCCAGTTTGTTCATTCCTTGGGAGATGTGTTTCATTCCAGCATCAGCTGGTGGGCCGGAAAATGGGGGGCTAGAAACCACAGCGTGGGGATCTGCGGATGCTGCAGAGTCAGGCTTTCCAAAGCACAGCTAACACGTTAGGGTACTTAGTGAGTTAAACAGGGAGGATGCTGTCTGCACATTAAAGCTTTCTCTTTAAAATGCCTTCCCTCCTCTCACAGAGCAGAGCCAGCTGGAGGGGGTCTAATAACGCTCATCCTTCACCGTGACACCGTACGTGGCGTATGTCTCTGCAACAATTACCTTGATTTGCTTTTTCAGTCTCGGGCTGATTTATTAAAGCTGCTTTGAGTCGATGAAAAATCCCATCCGATGTCAGGTAGGGTCAGCGAGTGACACCCCCATCCTGCTTCCCATCCCTCGCATGGTTAAAAATACACAGCAGAGCCACCCAGCAACCTGGGGCCAAGGCTCGAGGGAGATGGGCAGCCCAGCGTGGCTGGTGGGCACGTTTCAGGCTCGTTTCCTTCCCTGTAGTGAGTCACTGCCATTTATTTCATGCAGAGGCAGTGCCGGGCCGCGCTGACCTCCTGTACCGACCGCAGGGACTGAAAGTGATGCAAGGGGGGAATGGAAATGGTTAAAAATAGGGATTCTGGGGGGGTTTGCTTAAATCCAGCCACAAACTCAGGGGTTTTGGCCCGGACTGGGGTTACAGCAACCCCTGGGGTGATGGGAATTGGGATTAACCCCGTGAATCCTGGGCTCTCCAGATCCTGGCGTGGGAGGGGGGGCTGTGAAGCCCAGGCACCCAACCAGACCTCTGCTCGCTCCTGCCAGGCTGGGGGTGGTGAAGTCTCTGCGCCATCGCCGACAGCGGTGTGATGGCAAGCACGGCTCCTCCCTCCGTTGCCAGCAGGGTCTGGGGGCCACGGAGGGTTCTGCCAGTCCCCGCTGCCGGTGGTGGTCCTGTGGCCTGCAAGACGTGGCTTTCTTGTCTATTAACAGCAGCTTTGGCCATGTCAACCCATCTTACCCAGCCAGAGCCAACCAGCGTCTCGGACAAAGGGGCTGTTTGATGGGCAGGAAATTTTGCACCCTGGCACAAGCGCCAGGCTGGGTACAGCAACGTCTCGCCGTGCCTCGTCTGCTGAAAAGGGGAGTGTTGGGGTCCTGTTGCTTGTCCTGGGGTGCAGACCCCCCGCAGACCCTCTCCCTGCCCCAGGAACGCCTCGGCTGAGGTGTCTCCAAGGTCCCGCCCTGGTGCCTGTTTTCCCACGGTGATGCCAGACAGAGCCAAAGTGGGGTTCAGGGTCCCCCAAGACATGAGCTGCTGGAGCCGGTACCCGGTGTTGGGGGGGGCTGGGGGACATCTCGGCCGTGGTGCGGGCTGGGGCTGGGCGATGCGGCTCCTGCTCTTTGTTAGAGAAAAGCAGGAGTCGGGCGGCTGCGGGAGGTGCCGACGGCACCGACACGAGCTCTCGTGGAGCCGGGAACGAGCACCTCAGGCCCCAGCAACGGCTTGGGGTGGCTCCCAGTGGGACCACCCCAGCACCTCACCCCTGGCTGGGGGGACTCGGGACCCTCCCTGCGAGCAGGGCAGCTCTGAGCGGTGACATTTGTGTGTTGGAAATAAAACACCCCGCCAGGCTCTTGCCTCTCTCAAACCTGCCCTGCGGCTCCTCTTCCCCCAGTCCCCACTCCGGGGCGAGGCTGGAGGGGCCGGGGTGTGTCCCCCAGCTTCTCCCCCAAATACCAGCTCCCAGGGACCCCCCCGTGCAGCTCCAGGCACGCACAGTCGTTGCTTTTTCCTCTTGCACAGCATCTGGACACCCACACACACATGCGTGTGCTCACACCGACGCTGTTCACACTCACATCACACCCATCGGGTACACCCGGCTCGGTGCTGCCGGCTCACAAGCGCCCGGTGCACACCCACCCTCGCTCCTGCCACTGGCTCACACGCAGTGCACACTCATACCCCGTGCACACCTATTTCTGCTGCTGGTTCACACCTGGCACACACCCGGTCCCGGGGCACACTCACTCCTGCTGCTGTCTTGCACATGGGACACACTCACTCCTGATGCACACTCGCTCCTGCTGCTGTCTTGCCCCTGGTGCACGCTCACCCCTCGTGCACACCCAATCCTGGGCCACACTCACTCCTGCCACCGTCTTGCACCTTGCACGTGGTGCACACTCACCCCTGGTGCACCCACCCTGGCTTCGGCTGCCACCTCACAAGTGATTCACGCTCCCCCCAGGTGCACGCTCCCCCACACACACACGCTCCCCCCCAGCCCTCCTCACTCGCACTTTTCGCACCCTCCGGGACCCCCCGCTCTCACCTGACGATGCCGTACATGACCAGGACGTTGCCCAGCAGCCCCACCACGCACACCACGGAGTAGAGTGCGGTGATGACGATGGCGATGAGGATGGAGGTGGCGTTCTTGGCCCGCTGCGGCCCCGTGTCGTTGGCCCCGTGGCCGGGCAGGGGAAGCCAGGCGCTGCCGTTGCCCCAGGCGGTGCCGGCAGTCGTGGGCAGTTCCGTGGGCAGCTCCGTGGGCAGCTCCATGGCCCGCGGGCGGCCGT